GTAGTGTAGATGCTCTGCAAGTTTTTGCGCAAAAACTCTGCAGTGTAGACATAGCCTCAGTCCCAGATCTTCAAAGGTTTTAGGCACCACTGTGAGTTACAAAATCCCCACTTGACTACCATCTGTCCCCTTGGGCACCGAAAGCTACTCAATGCCTAAGTTTTCAGGATATAAGTTCTCTAGGCTTCTACATTTCTGCCTCCAAGCACATACATCACTGCTGGCCTCTAGGTATCTTGATGTCTCTCACATCTAAACCTCCATAATCCATGAACTGGGGGAAGACAGGCAGAGGGATGCTTAACTGAAGGCTGTGATTTGGAAAGTGTGCTTAGAGTAAACATGGCACCATGTTATGATTCAGATTATCAAATACTAATGCAATCAGCTTTCAGTTTTCTCCCATTGCCCAGTCATAGTTAAATGAAAGAGCAATATATAGGCACAGAGCACAGACTTGAACCTGCAGCATTTCATCCCCATCAATCTCCTTGCTACCAAACCCACTCTCTCAATCACACACGTTATCTTTAGGAATGACAGTAAAAATGCTTTTTATTTCACTTATTTCAAGTGTGGTCCTATTGTCAGTGCTGGCTACCAAGGACTATTCCAATAAAAGGCTTCTGCCAAAGGTACATATCCAGTATAACAGATGTTCTGCCACTTCTGTCCCAGCTGTCAGAATAGGAGACATGGTCTGAGAAAAAGGGAAAAAACTTGGACTTCTCAATGCCCCAGAAATCTCTGGCTGCTGTATCAGTTCCTTGACATTGTTAGCAGGCAAGGCATAGTCAGTCCCACTTCAGAGGAGTACCAATGTCAGCGGGTATTCTAACTTCGAGGGTGCCTAAGAAGTCTCATTCTGATTGTGGACTTTTTCTGCCCCGCCTATGTGCTCAGGCTGTGAGATGTCCAGAGCATTTCTCCTTAATAAATAAGCTATGGTGGGGCTGAAGTCTGCAATTTATAAGGAAGATGCTAAATTCAGCTATGCCCAATTCTCTTCATTACTGCATAATCTATGATGTAATTACCCTCAGATGCTCTCTTACGGCTCTTACTTTTACATTACCACTTTCATTTTAAAGGTTACCTCCAAGGGTGGGGAAAAGTTGGACTTGTACCTCTTTTTTATTCCTTAATTTTTAAATTTGGCCTAGCACATTTTTTTAAATTTATTTATCTTCTGTTTCAGTTAGTGAGTTGAGCACTTTTCCCCTTCCAAGTTGGATCCTTTAGTGAACCCCAAAGCTATTACTCTTTTTGCCAAATGAAGTAAATAGAGAAATCTAGCAATATCGGCCTTTAATAGCAAATCAGTAACATAGTAAATGTAGACTTGGAACATTTACAACAAATTATTACTGCAAATACATTTTTAGAAATGAAATATTTCAATAGAAATGTTCCACCCATGAATAGGATAATGGCTCAATGAATTAACATCTCTAGGTGGAACATACCTATAATTCAAAGATGAAAGCATTCCAAAAACTTTGGGTTTTTTTGGATTTGGACAACTACAAATATTTAATGGAAGAATATGAAAACTTTTTCAAAGGAACAAAAAGTCCACCCTCATAAAACAGCTGGCTAAAAAGACTTGTAAAGATTTTCTAGCACTAAACAAAAAACAAATGCAGTTAGCTCCTAGATGTGGCTATTGTCAGAACAGAATCAAAGTTAGTGTTGAAAAAAACCCATCTAATTAATCTTCCTGCTAATTTACATTTGTTTATTGTCACCAATAGAAATAAAAAGCCTAATCAGACTCCTGCCCTTCTTTGATACATTTATGTGGACTGACACATTCCAATTCTGTTGAAATTAAGTTTTCATTAAAAAGTTATAGCTCTCACTGCAAAGGAAACTCTCCTAATGTAAGTCAAGTGTTGCTGATGCAGTGTTCACTTTAACTCTACAACCAATCTCAAGCAAGTAGTGAAGGATGTAAACTCCCCCCCTCCCCCAACACTATAGTTGTGGTGTTAACTCTCTTAAGAATAGTAATGACATTTTTAATCTAAATTTAGCTATTTAATTGCTGATCACTTTAGTAGTAGGTAAATGGGCGAGAGTGAAGTCTATGAATGTGAGGAATTGGGAGATGTTGTGTGGAAGACGCACAAAGACAAGCATAAAAAACAAAGGCTAGGAAACAAAGGGCATAAATAAGGATCTTAATGGGGAGTATACTTTTCCCACTTAATGTTGCTGAATATGACTAACAAATAACCAAAACTAATAGACACATAAAGGCAATATTATTGATTTGTGTAAATCTCCCATTAATATTAATGGAAGATATGCTATGGCTTGAGAGGCATTGTGGCTACGTCTACACTGGCCCCTTTTCCGGAAGGGGCATGTAAATTTCAGCAGTCGTCGTAGGGAAATCCGCGGGGGATTTAAATATCCCCCGCGGCATTTAAATAAAAATGTCCGCCGCTTTTTTCCGGCTTTTAAAAAAGCCGGAAAAGAGCGTCTACACTGGCCCTGATCCTCCGGAAAAAGTGCCCTTTTCCGGAGGGTCTTATTCCTACTTTGAAGTAGGCCCTCTCCTGAAAATGAGTTTGACCTCTCCAATAAAGGATAGAGGAAAAAAATATCCAGATTAAATGTTCTTTATCCACTTCTTTCTGGTGAATGGGTCCATAAAGTTATGGAAGAGGCCATCCAAATAACTGGTGATGGTAAATGCTCTGAGTTGCTTAAAACTTTAATTTTGAAAAGTAAAAGGTGACAGCTGGCCTTTCCCACTGTAAGGATGTATTTGTGGGGCAGTTGAAGAAAGGGTACAGCCCTGCTTTTTCTAATGAACTTTGACATTAGAAGATAAATGCCAATATGCATGATTTCAATCACGCACAAGTCACGGGCCTCTGCACATTCTAACAATATTTAAGGCCTGTCCTGATAAGCAGTCTCAAAACAAAGGAGGCTCTTGTATATATGTTCTTCAAATGAACATAAAACATCAAACAATGAATAGTCTGGTGGCACCTTAGAGCCTAGCAAAAGTATATATTATCATGAGGTTTTGTGAGCAAAACCCAGTTCTTCAGATGAGCTGAAGTAGAAATAACAGAAACCAGGTATTTTATAACAGAAAAAAGGTAACTGTCAATTGTAGGAGCAGTGCTATAATTAATATGTTCTCTCCCCTCACCCCACCCTTGTTATCTGAAGAAGTTAGTTTTGTCCATGAAAGCTCATAATACAATATGACTATTTGTTGTTTTCAAAGTTAGACTAACACAGCTACCCCTGTGGGACAATATTAATTGGCTCATAGGACACATTTACATTTAAACTGTGATGCCACCAGAAATAGGTGTAGAGCTCCTGAATTAGAATCTCACAGGACAAAGTAGGGTCAAGGGAACTGGTTCTAATCCCCAGCCTTATGACAAGGTCCTCCTTGTTAGAGAAGACACACAGAAAATAAAGTGTTTTAATAGAAAATCAAAAAGGTACAATTCAAGCATCAAAGTTTTCAACATCAGTACATTAGAATGTGTTGTTAAAAGGATTTTTCAACAGCATGCTTCCAATAAAATTTGTACATTTCAGTGTAATCATCATCCATCACCATATAGTCTCCTCATGGGTATATTTAAGACACAGAGCTGGGAAAAGAATAATAGCATAATATCTGACGAAACTGCTAATTTTCTTGGCATTTATTAGTTATCTAAAAAATTTAATTACAGGTTGTTTCGCCATAGCAAAAATATAAAACCTTAAACAAGACAAAGATTTGCCAATGTACAGTTTAACATACAGAATAGGGAAAATATCATAGGCATTAAGAGTTTTATACTGCATTTAAATATACAAAACAGAATGCAATAAACAAAAATTACTGTTCAAAGGTTAAATTTCTTGTAACATACTGCAGAGGGATTTCTTTAATATGTATTCAAGTTTCAAAACATGTAAAGTACTAAAACTGTATTTCAATAATCACATCAAATGTGAATTATTATTGCTGTAACAGTAGAAGAATTTAAGTTTCTGAGTTAGTTTTAAAACAATTAATTTAAATACAGTTCAAGACATGTTCAGGTAGTTGAAGTGACTTGTTGGGAGTCAATCAGGCATTAATTTCAGAATGACTCAATCAGTATTGGTTCTAGGCATTTATTGCCATCTTCACTGTATTAGTACTTTGTTGACTCTATAAATACATTTGTTCTCTAACTACATTTTGTAAAATAAGCAAATTCTATAAGAGTTCACCATAGAAAAGTTACCTTGTTCTGAGCTTTTATTAAAAAAAAAATACAAATTTTAGCAGCAGACTACCCTGAATTTTATCCCCTCTCCCTCACATTTTGAAAGGGGAAGGTATCTATGAAATAGCCCATTCCTTTGCGTTTTTGGCAATTTAAGCCTCTTGTCCAGACAGCTGGCATTATAGCTCTATACACCACCCTCTTTCCCCCACCTGCTCACGAATGAACCACAGAATTAGGTTTCAATTTTGAAAATCCTTATGCTGTCGGTTCTGGTCTTTACATACATTCCAGTCTGGGTAGCTCTGAAACATGAAGTATTTAAGAAAAATGTATTTAAGGAAATTGTATTCGCCAGATTACTTTGTTTGGAAATAGCATTAAATAAATGCCTTTTAGAGGGAGATTTTCTAAAGGCACAATTGAATTAGGCACTGGAACACCATTTGCACTACGAGGGAGATTTTCTAAAGGCACAATTGAATTAAGGCTTAGTGCTTAGACAATGCCACTACTCAGATCACTAAATTTTTTGACACACTCTTTATGTACACAACTACTATGTACAATAATGACAGTTAGCAATATGTTTTAAGGAAAAATACTGTGTCCCAAGTGACTATTTGGAAACATCCTATATGTCCCAGAGTTGGAAATTCTCCATATACCTGATAAAAATAATTTCTTAAGGGCATTAGTATTTGATAATCTGAATCACAACAAGGGAGCAGAATAAAGCTTTTTGTTCCTTATATACAAAAGCCCATTTTTTTTAAAAACTGCTTGTGTTTTTAAATTGTGGGACTATCAAGCCTTACCTTTTCTGTTTTTCGGAGATTCTTTTTGGAGGGAGCACTAGAATAGGAACTTTCACAACCTTAATGTAAGATCTGGAAGTGGTGAATCTTTTTGGCTCTCAACTGTTTATGCTAAAATTTTAAACGATGACTGAGAAAACATGCCTTGATACCAATTACGTCCTAATCCTATGTCCTTTTCAAACTTAATGTCTTCCATGAAAAACAGGGTAAACACAACCTAGATTTCCAATGAAACTAACAAAGAAAATAAAGACAAAACACTCTTTTTCATATATGAAAAAAAGACTTTTTCTTTGAATGTTATCTTTGAATCATTCACAAGACACACCGTCCAGTGACAAAAAGCACTTCTCTCCACCAGTTTGCTAAGGGTATGGGAAGAGCTCCTAGCACCTCAGCCCCAGAAGCAAGATGTCCTATTTCAGTTATACCCCAGAGAAATAACAAAAGTAATTTCCCTTAGCCCATGATATAGCATTCCTTCTTAGTGATGTAAGTAAATATGCTCTAAAACACTGTACTATTGAAAACAACTTCCTCACTTTTATTGTTAGAAATAATCATAGTAAAAATATTACTTCAGTTTTAAAGAAAAGTTACATATAAATATTCTCTCGTGGATATAATTTTGCAACTGAAACCCTGACTATAAAAAGCAAAGTGCAACACAGCATCTTTGCATCTGATTTCACCCTCCACCCCTTCCCATTTTGGCATTAACAAAAATATAACTGCAAGATCAACAAAACCATGAAAATTTACACAGAAATGAAAACACGCCAGTGACTAGCTCCAGTATAGTCTTACTTAAAAGTAAAAGAACTCTATTCTCAGTAAAATGACTTAACATCTCTCTAATAGTTGTACCATCAATTATGTAGAATTAAGAATTCTAATAATAAAATTTACTCAATTTCTGTCTAATCAAAAAGCATTTTAAAAACTTTTGTTCTTGGAAAAAACATTCAACTTGAAAAAGCCCGAATATTGAATTCCCTTTTTATTAATATACATTTCAGATTACTGATTGAATTAATGTAGCTTTCCCCTCAGGATGCAGAGGACCTACACTTTTTAAATAGTCACGTGACAAGATTCTTCAACAGCATTTTGGTACTGGGTTTCTTCATCAAGCTGAAGATTCTACACACAATAAAAACATTTAATCAAAAATTAACAAATACTGTAGACAAACTATTCAATTCCATCTGGTTCTTTGTTATATTCATGTATTATTTGTTGACTACATATGGCATCTAGAGAAAGAATTTTTTTGTTACAATATATGTATCAAGGAGGTTGGCTAACCATTCAGTACTATATCTCACACAGATACCAAAGAGAGATGAAAGCAGAGGAGTAGAACTCTTCGGCCTAATGGATACAGTCCATCTCTCCTTGACTAGATTCTATTGTGAACTAGATAGTGAGCTAGAGGGTTTTCTGCCCTATCATTCTTATGAGAGTTTCCAATCAGCCAATAGACCAGAAGGACATCAAAAGTTCACCCTAATACTATATCTCCAAGGTCTCAGATTCTTCTCTCTTTTGGCTGGCAAAGCAACAGACACCATAAAGGTGGCAGTCTGGAGTCTGTCACATTTCCCTTGGGAATAGAGGCAGTCTTGGGCAGCTTTGCAAGAACGAATTCGCTTTGTGCAACAAAAATCGTCTACATTAGTTGAGCGTTCAGCATGACTTAGCTGCATCTGTTGCCAACACTAACTGTCAATAGTAGTTACTATTTATAGTATAGAACAAGTGTTCTCAAACTTCATTGCACAACAAACCCCTTCTGACAAAAAGTTACTACATGAACTGGGAAGGGGCCAGCAGCACCTAGCATGGGGAAGGAGAGAAAGCCACAGTCCAAGTCTCACTACCTGGGGGGTGACAGAGCTTAGGCTTTAGCCAAGGTCGCAGCAAGTATAATGTTGGCCCCTGGAGATACGTTGGGAACCCAACCCACAGTTTGAGAACCACTGAACTATAGACAACAGTTCAGAAGTAGCAGAACTTCCTCTAGGTAGCAGGATGCACAGCACCTAAACATGTTAAAGTTGCATATCTTCCAGGGACTCTGCAGCCACAGAGGCTAATTTATTACTTTCCTTTATAGAGAAAAAAAGTTCCCTATTTCTTTGAAGAGAAAGAAAAAAGGAAAAATGCTTACCACAAATTCTCCATAGTCGAACTGGTGTCTTAGATTTAGATGGCTAACAAGATTTCTAGTAACCTGACTAGGATCTGCCCATGGGAGAGACACACAAATTGGACAAACCTAAATTTGAAAAATTATTTAAAAATGTATCAGCCAATAAAAAGACATCATTATATTGTGTATTCAATGTAAAATCTTAATCTGATACTTACTCACCATCAAAAGTGAATGTGAACTAGATAGAATTTTATATAAACACTTTGAATATTATACAACTTATAATTTTCTAGATAAATTGTCCACTTGAAATTTAGTCCATTTTTTAAAAAAAGGTTAAGAGCAGTTTGTCACTACAACTGCCCATAAGTCCTCCTGCCAATTTATTTTTAAATCAAAATCTCCTATATTTAAAAACTATATTCACTCTTCTTCCCCACTGATGTTTGTGTGGGTCTTGCACACAACTTGTATCACTAAGTAACTACACAGAAAAAACAGTAAAACTGACTACACAGAGAATAACTGAAAAAAAATCTTTCCCCTTCTAACTTTTGGTTTTAGAAATGTTAGTTTTCCTGTGCAATAACTGTATGCTACAAGACAAATAAGATTTTTAAACTGACAATGTTTCTTTAAGTAACAGCAATTTTAGTTACCAGATCAGAAAATTAAAGCATCAGCCTCAAAAACTGGAACAGTATACTTTTCAACTCAACAAACCAATTGAAACTAATATGACAAAGAAAAAAAAACCAAATGCCTTCTGAGTAAAGTAAAGAAAGAAAAGTTTTGGGTTTTTTTCCAGAAATAAATTGCAACTCTAAATCGGAGTGGGGAATCTTTTTTTGGGTTGGGGGCCGCTGACCCACAGAAAAATCAGTAGGGGGGGCCTCACACAAGTGAGGAGAAAAAAAAACTCACTGAAAGACACTCTCCAGAGTCCCCTTGCACCCCAAAGCCTAGGAGGAGCCCAGCCTAGTAGATTTTGTGTGCTCAGACTCCCCAATGCTAGTGGAGCCCTGAGCTTTGGAGGGCCAGATCCAGGCAACCAGGGGTCACATCCAGCCCCCGGGCTTTAGGTTCCCTACCCCTGCTCTAAAATAACTAAAATAAGGGGAGTTTAAGATGATTACATTGAATATATTCATATATATACTTACCACAGGAACTATCTGATAAAGGTGCCTATTGTTACAATGATCCAGTAGGTGTTGCCGGGTAAAGTTGGTTTCCTGACAGAGGGGGCATTTGAATGTGGGATGTGCACTGGAAATAAAAGTTATACAGTATTAAGTTTTATTTTAACGGTTCAATTTAAGAGATAGTAGAACATCTGCTGACATGTTATCATTTCCTTTATTTTGAGTACTAAATCAAAAGGTTATCTGATGCCACTTTGCTGAACTGTAAACTTCAAGCAAAGTCATATTTGTGTATCAATACATATTCTATTAAGTTAGGAAGTTTAGACAATTCTTTTGTCTTTTTTTACTGAGGCCATACAATGCATTCTGGATATTTTTCAAGTAAGAAGCAATAAGAACACCAGATTACAACTGATAAACTTGCATGTACATCAGGGGTCGGTAACTTGTGGTCCAGAGGCCACGTGTGGCCTACTGGGTCTCCACCTGCGGCCCACATGATGCCTCTCTCCCCATTTGCCCCTCATGCACTGGGGTACCAGAATCCCCACTTCCTACTCCTCCCCCTTCTTCCCACCACTTTCGGAGTGCTGTGAATCAGTCCCTGCTCCTCCTCCTCTCTTCCAGAGCTGAAATGCTGTGAATCAGCTGTTCTGAAAGTGGTGGGAGGGAAGAAGACGAGTAGGTAAGTGTGGGGCTCCGATGCAAGAGGCACATGGGGGAGAGGGCCCCAGGGGGTTCATTGGGATGCAGGTGGGACACCAGTGGGCCATGTATTGCTGCAGCTCATCAAGATGAAAGAGGGCCAAACATGCAGTTCAGTTGGCTATCACTGATGTACATGAATATAATGATATTTTTTTTAAAGATGTTTGTCAGACTCCCATAAGAAATTTGAATTGTCTTCTCCCTATGGGATATAAATTAGTGATATCAGAATGTAACTGAATAGTTGTATAACTGCATGAAATTTTAATGGTTACAGGACTAGTTAATAGTCCCAGAGGCAGGGCCTGCAGCCAGCATGCCCTGGGTCCCACTCCCAGGGAGACCCCTGCCACCTGCACTGCCGCCCCTAACAGAGGCAGCAGCATGGAGTGGCACCAGCCCCTGTCCATGGGAGGTCAAAGCTTCCCATGGACAGAGCAGCCTGTGTCCACAGGGATATCGGACCCTCCATACACAGGGGCTGCTAGAGGCAGCTGCATGGGTGAGGAGGAGGAGGAAATGGCTCCGCAGAGCCGGCATGTGAGGAGAGTCAGCTTAAAAGTTTTCCACCTGTCCCTCTCACCTTCCATGCTGCTGCCTCTCTATCCAAGGCAACACCATAGAGGTGGGAGATGGGGGCGGCAGATCTGGTGCTCATGGGGAGCCGCCTTAAAAGCTTGCTCCTACTTCCTCCCTCCCCCTGCTGCCTCTATCAGAGGCACCGGGAGGGGAGGGAAAAATGCATGTAGTCAACAGGATTAACTGATAAGCCCAGGCTTATCGGTTAATCATGTAGTTGTCTCCACGCTGACATGTCTAATATCTAGCTAGAATTAATGATGGAAAACTTAATAATTTTTACAATACTTAATAGAAGACGCCTACCTTGCATCTTCCTGAAGTGTCTGAAGATTAGCCATCTCTCCATTATCAGATGTAGATGTATCGCTCCTATTACTTTATATAAAATGTTAGACAAAGTATACAAGTTTTAATTTGTTTGAATATCCAATCACGAAATAAACATAGGTTTTCTATAATTTTAAAAGAAAAAAAATTCCATTAAGTCCTATTAATTATAAACTGATCATATAGGTAGAACATATGGGAAACATATATAAGATGACAAATGTTTTGGTTTTATTTTGCACCAAGATGTTACATGGCACCCATGAAAATATTATGTGGACCGATGAAAACAGAGTTTTGTATATGGTTATCTATTCAACAGCAAGACTGAATTTTTGGGGCAGTGAGGAGGGTAACGGAAAGAGGACAAAGAGCTTCAAAGGCATTATATACTGTATGAACAGAAGACAAGGTGTGGTTTTCTAAAAGGCCTTATACAGCCATTTGCTCAGGATACTTTAGAATGGTAGTTAAATCCTCCATAATTTGAAACTGTGGAAATGAATTCATTCTATTTCCTTGTGATTCCACCACTGCAGGAAGTGCAGGGGGCCCAGCCGCTGCTGAAACCTGCCCCCCCCCCCCCCCACAGTAATCCCCAAGGCTGTGTCCCTCATGGCCGGCTTTCAATGGAGGGAGAAGGCAGGAAGGGGCAGTTTGGGGGATGGACATATCCCCTTCCCGGGCCACTGGGTCTCGTGGGTCAGACTGTGAATATGCTGTAGCCCGTAGATGGTCCATGGACTGTGAGTTTGAAACCCCAATCCATTCAAAATATTAAGAAATCAGGAGAAAAATAAAACTTCTGTAAACCTAAGAGCAGTCAGACCTGATATAAAGCAACGAGCTCAATTGCTGTTATGGGGGAAACAATCAAACAAACCAGTTGAAGGTGCTATCATATACACAACCTTAGGGAAAGTTTCTAGAAGTCATTCCAAAATATGCTGTAGAGCACTTTTCAAAATGCCACACTGAAGAATAGAGAAAAGCATCTAAAAGGTGTTTCTAGGTAAATATTCATTTTTGAAGCATAAGAACTTAGATAATACTGTTTACAAAAAGAAAGTGTGCCTTATAAAAAACTATTTTCACAAATTATCTGAGTTATACATGAAATACACTAATTACCTGTTCCCTGTTGAATCTTGAGAAATCTGAAAGTTTGGAATAATAGACGAAACACCATATTCATCCTGGTACTTCTTACATGTTTTATAATGGTGTCTCATGCGAGAAAACCTAACCTGTAAATGAAATTTCAAACCATTTAGATTTTACAAAAGAATTACTTCTGCCAACAGATTAAAAAAGCTTGTAAGAAAGAAAAACAGAAGAACCCTGTATAAGAATGTATTAAATGCTAATAGCTCTTCTAATGCAGCTTTAATAACTACATTCTGTATCCACTCCGTCTAACCATATAACACTTAACATATTAGGCATTATACTCAACCCTTGATACAAAAGGAAAAGGGATTATGGGATATTCATTTGCTTTAAACACACCCTTCCCCTTCAGCAATAATATAATACTTCATGATGTAAGCCCTCTTGCCACTTATGCAGTAAGTTACATCTCAAACTAACATTTTTAAGGAATCCTGTTGTCAAGCAGGAGCACTGGATCCCTTGAGCATGACAAAGAGCTTAATACAATGGCCCCCAATGCGATGCCCACGGGCGCCATGGTGCCCGCCGGGGCATTTATGTGCACCCACCGAATGATCTGGGCCGGCCCCGCCCCCGGCACGTGATGCGTGTGCGGTCCGGCCCCAGGCGCATGGGCGGCCCCACCTGTGGGCACATGGCACATGGGCGGTGCTGGTCCCGAGTGCGTGGCGCATGGGCAGTGCTGCCCGCAGGCGCGTAGCACATGCCCGAAAGGCTGGCGCATGGGCAGTGCTGCCCGCAGGCGTGTAGCACATGCCCGAAAGGTTGGGGACCACTGGCTTAATAGAAGCAAGTGAGAGCAGGACAGCTAAAGGGAGATTAGAAAAATGTCCAAAGGTTCATACCACAGCTAGTATGCTCAATTACATATGCAAGTGATTTTGTTATTTCCAGCTACCAGGTTGCAACTCAGTGTAAATAGCATTTGGTTTTATAGCTTATAAACCACAATGTTTAAAAGATTCCCTTGTCTTATTTTATTTTAACAGAGATCATGAACAACAAAGCCTCATACTCAACACTATTAATGATGGATCACACACAGTCCTCGGACACAAGAGTAAGGGTAGTATGAAGACTTCTTGGATTCAAATGCTTTATAAACAAAACCTATTGGATGAAATCCTGCCTCCATTTAAGCCAAGATTCCTATTAACCTCAAGAGGACCTGGATTCCACCCATAGTGTTTTGAACATTAGCAATCTCTTTACTAAAGTGAAAGCCAGAGAGATTAAATAATATGGTAGCGTTTACTGGTTGTGCTTATTGCTATTTGTATTTTTTGGTGCTCTTCTACTGTAAATTTGAGCATTTTAAAAAAATATAGCACATTATTATAAGGTCTTGGATATATTTTCTAGCTGTTCTCCATTTCTCGTCCATGTTCTTTTGTCCACATTTAGAGTTCTTTTTATTCATTTCTCTCAATTATTTGTATTTATGGAGAGGCCCATCAATTTGGCACTTTGCAAAAAAATTAAAACTTTCTTAAAATGCAACTTTATTTCAGCAGCCACTTTATTCCGATTTCAAAATTTGTTTGATAGCTAGGGACAAATTCTTAGATGCACGTGTGTGCACACCTGTCTCACTTGAGACTTGATGCTACAAGGTACTAGTCCCTCTAAATTACTGGACGTTAATGACATATAGCAGCATGAAGGATCAGGTCCCAAGTAAGGAAAGCTTATTCACTTGTAACAAATAAGTAACTTTTGTCTTTACTCCACCTGCTTTTCACAGCATCTACAACCTCCAGAAAGCTTCTTCATGTTGTTTTCAACATCCAGGGCTCTTCTGGGACATGATCTTTCTTTTTTAGTCACAGTTCCCCGGCACAGAGGACAATGCGTTCCACTTTCTCGTATTGCTGTCAGGAAACATTTCCTGCAGAACCTAATTTCAAAGTTAACACAAGCACGCATTAGTAAAATAAAAGCTAGATGGGTCAATATTTTCTGTGTTAGCTTCAAAGATGGTTAAGTAGCTATATTATTATTTCTAATAAAAATATTAGACATGCTTTGAACTAGCAGAAAGTTCCGCAGATTAGGGTAAGGGATGTAAAAGCCTGTTTGATTAACCAGTTAAATGTTAACTAAATGGTTGGCTGGAGCAGCCTCCACACCAGGGGCAGGGGCTGCTCCAGCCTGGCTGCTTCGCTTGGGGTCAGAAGCAGCAGTGGAGGAGACAGGGGGTTTATGGGCTGGGAGCCAGCATCTCCTGCTGCTGCCATTTCTGGCCCCTAGGGCTAGAGCAATCCCCCCATGCTACGTCACAGGGCTGCTCCCAGGTAATGTATCAGAGGGGTAGCCGTGTTAGTCTGAATCTGCAAAAGCGACGAGGAGTCCTGTGGCACCTTATAGACTAACTGAAGTGTAGGAGCATAAGCTTTCGTGGGCAAGGACCCACTTCATCAGATGCATGTAGTGGAAATTTCCAGAGGCAGGAATAAATATGCAGGCCAGGATCAGGCTGGAGATGACGAGGTGGACCCAGGTAATGGTTAACCACTACCCAATAAGCACTGCCCATTCAGGAAGGCCAGGGGCAGCAGATACCTACACGTGTTGGCAGGTAACTGTCCTCACAGGCGTTTTGAACACCTCCTGGCACACTGGACAATAAAAATCCTCTTCATTGAAGCAAACAGTGGCAGGTTCCTCGGCCATGGCAGTGAGTCTTGACCGCTCTGTGGGAATAAGGGGGAGGACGATCACTCCCTCGCTCACTTCAGGCGACATGAGGCTGAAGCGGGTTGCCCGCGTGGAGGGATGAAGAAAGGCTGGCTGGGGAGCACCCCTTTGCCCCCTGCAGCCCGCCCGCCCTGCTCCCGGCCACTGTGGGGCGAAGCGGGCGCAGGGGCAGGCGCGGCCGGGGGAGGCGCCGG